ATGCGGGGTCTACAATAGAAGTCGTAGCGGTCGTAGGGTCTTAAGTCGTAGAAAATTGACCAATCACAGTTAATTATTCTTCTCATATTTGACTGTGATTGATCAATTTTCTACGACTTAAGACTCTATGATTGTTACGACTTCTATTGTAGACCCCGCATCATTATAATCTAATATAAAATAATTTAACACACATGTAATTATGATACTTACAGATGACATTTTCTATCTTTTCAATGCTCCTTTTAATTGAATTTTTTCAATATTATTTTTAATCGCTAGTGATCACTGGTGATTGACAGTACGAAAAATTTCCGTTTCCGAAAATTATGCCCAATGGGAAGCCAGGCTACTTAAAATCGGAACGGAACGATGCTGATTGGTTGCCCCTATCACTTCACCTTTCTGATTCCGTTCTCCGTGCCCATGGAACAGCACCCTTAAGCCTGATTTATAATGACCGTAAGTCCGGATCTACAATAGGTGTTTTAAGACTTAAGCTGTAAGAAATTGACCAATTACAATCGAATCCGAGGGGAATAATCGACTGTGATTCGCCCATTTCTTATGGCTTAAAGCTTAAAACCCTATTGTAGATCCGGGGTAAGTCCGAATCTACAATAGGTGTTTTAAGACTTAAGCCGTAAAAAATTGACCAATTACAGTCGAATCCGAGGGGAATAATCGACTGTGATTCGCCCATTTCTTATGGCTTAAGGCTTAAAACCCTATTGTAGATCCGGGGTAACCGTTAACTTATGCCGGTGTCGGTAAAGTTCAACCACAGTATAAGAATCCTTATACTGTGGTTCAACCATAGGATTTCAATGCTTTCGTTCATATATACTAACTTGCCGTATTAGTATATCGCCGGCACCTAGGGACACTAGTTCCAATATGCTCTTACTCACTCCAACACCCTTGATAGACTATAGAGTGAGTAGGAGCTAACCCAGCTCAACCAGGTCTGCGCTCCGTTTCACTCATGATGATCATAATGCATCATTTATCCTTGTTTAACATTTGGTGAGTAACAAAGATAAATTATGCATCATGCGCATCATGCGTGACACGGAATGCAGCCCAGCTCAACCTGCTCAATCTGCTCAACAGTGCTTCATATCTGATTATGCTGTGCAGACATGCGGACGTGCATCAGTAGTATGGATGCATTTCTTTATACGCTGTTAGTAGTCGCACATTTCATATGTAAATTGTATGATGCGATCTGCGAGGCGTACAATGCGGTGTGTCGGAGGTACACGGAGCCCTGGTATGCGAGCACGACGGAGGAGCTCGACACGTTGCTCCGCACCAATACGAAGAAGATACCCAGGCACCTAGTGATCATACTCGGACGTCTCGGACTATGTGACGAGTTTGTTCTGGACTGTGTTCGTATAATTGAATGGAGCATTACACTTGATATACCTTACATCAGCTTCTTTGATCGTTATGGTAAAAATATGATTTGATATTGATATCATTATATCTGTATGTGAAATCATCGCGAAAAGAAATTCAAAAGAGAAAAGAAAACGACCGTTTTATGAGTATATATAGGGGGGAAGGAGTAAGATAACGAATTGTTAATTTTTTTAAGTTAATAATAAATGAAGAGCAGATGCTTAACTCATTAAAGGCTTTAGGTAATAATATATAATCTATTATAGTTTGAATTTAATCCGACCATACAAAAGTAGATGCTATATTAAGAAATGTGTGTTTTTTGTGCACTCGCATATAATTTTGTAATAATTTTGTATATAAGGAATGACATAGTTATAGTAAATACTTTCATTTTTTTTTTACTATAATCACAATACTATGTAGCTAAAAGCGAATAAAGTAACGTGTTAATATTTTTTATTTTTCACATTGCAATAGCTTTATTAATTAAATTAAAATATACGATAACCGTGGATAAGATGACGAATGTTGTACCTAGCGTTGTATCTAGCTATTCTAAACTAAACTTGACTTCATACCAAACTTAGGCGTGACTCAAATAGTTAAAAATTAATGATTAATTCGTTGATATTCATTACTTGTAAGTAAATTTTATTATATACAATTCACGAAGTTCATCATTTTTTAAATAAAGTATTATATTATTAAATATGTAAGAAAAGTTGTATGTCATGCTATTCAGATTAGGAAATCTCACAGCAGTGGTTCACTGCTTTAAAGACACAAATTCACTGTTATAAAAATACAAATTCTCTTCTAAAGCAGTGAATTTGTTTTTAAAGCAATGAACCACTGCTGTGACGGAAAATCCGAGATATTAATCGTTAAAGTCGATGATTAATATCTTGGTTCATAGGGCAGAGCGACACTTTTTTCTTGTCAAATCTTTATTTTTACGCGAAAACATCAATTGAATTTTTATTGAAATTTATAAATTTTATAAATGTTCATTTTATTCATATTTTTCTTTAAAACTCGTAATATATTGAAATATATAAACGTGTCATAATAAATTTTTTTTGTTCATAAAAAGTATAGATTTGTAACTAAAAAATTGACTCTTCGTCATCTTACTCACATATGGGGACAAGATGACGAAATTGACATGTCCTTAAAAAATATAAATTTTAAAAAATTCTAATTTATTTAACAACTTTTTTATTTAAAAAAATGATAACTAAGACTGTAGTAAATTTGAAAAAAATAAATCATTCTCTTTACCTCATCACAGAAATTAGATAAAAATCGACAAACCTTAAGTCGTAATCTTATCCCCTTTTCCCCTATGTGTGTGTGTGTGCCTGTGTTTACATTGAGGATTCAAAGTGTCATTTGTCATGCAAATTAATAAGTGTGCTTGTAAAGTCGTATAAAATCTGACGTGGCGAAACGTTATCGCATTTCGACATTTCAACTTTAACTGATATTCGTAGTCTGCTTTTAAATTTAACCTTCCAGCGGGTAACCTTCTCTGTACATGCACGCCGGTTTTATGGAGGGAATATAGATAAAATCTATTTTTTTGCGTCTCGGCTTCCCAAGATATTCCTTCAGTATCATTCAGTATCTTTAGGGCCGTCGATTCGCTCAGATCGCGTTTTGTTATGTAGCGTATGTTGTTTACGTAGAATTCGATTTTTAAAATATCAAGGCATTTTTTCAGAAAAATGTTCCTGTGGAGGATACACAATGCCGGTGAAAAGCGAGGGAGGTGCAAGTTGTGCAAAAATATAACCACCACCCTCAAATGCAACAAATGTTTTCATTTTACTTGCAAAAAACATTTGACCAAATCGGCAGAATCAAATCAGACCTATCAGAATTTTTAGTATTCATTTTGTACTAAATTGTATCACATTAATGATAATTTTATACCGTGAGCCATTTCGAAAAAAATCGTGGCACTGCTAACTTAATATTAAGCTGGCAGAACCAATTCAAAATAAAAAAAAAATGAAAAGTAATATCAGGAATTAATAGGATTGAATTTATACTATTTTGTACTATCAAAAACAATTCTATATTATGTGTTCATTTCCAAGAAAACAGTGGCGCTGCTAATTTAAGCTGCATATTTAAGCTGGCACTATAAAAAAACCAACAAAGGCAAAAATTAATATAACTGAATTTGTACTAATTTGTCGTTGAAAGTATATATATATTTAAGTTAATATTTTATGTGTTTTCCTCCTTAAAATGACTTATTTATATTTATTTATTTATTCTTAATCCTTGCCTTGCGGCTTAGGACGGCTTCCGGTTTACATTTGTTGTTAATTTAATACACTTTGTCTGTCCCTATCTCGCTCTGCTACATATCCATCATAACATAACATAGCATATATATAAATTATATCCCGCTAATCATTCAGAAAAAAAATAAACAAAACATACCGCACATATCTAACATTTCTTACATATCCAATACATATCTATAACTGCTTGTATCTTTTGGTACTTTATGATTGTATATAAAAATAAAAATAAAAATACTGCTCTGAAACAAATCTCAATGTAACTATCAGTATAATTATGACATCGATAATAAAACGAATAACATTGCTTGGAACTACTCTGGAAACTGTACTTTGGCCGTAATTGCTTTCTAATCTGATTGATGTAGCCATCTAGACTAAGTCCTCATTCTTGTTTATTCTTTCCCTCTCTTCTGCTTCCTTTCTTGCCTTATCTATCCTTTTCATTGTCTCTAGTCCTTTGCCTTCTACCTCTATGAATTTTTCCATCTGCATCTCACTCTTTGTCTCCTCGCACTCCTTGAGTATATGGGTCATATTCTCTTCTGCAGCATGGCAAATTCTGCACCTCTTTTCTTCGTCCTCTCTCCAGTACTGATCTCCTTTTGTCTCGTTCCCACATCTGAATCTTGCTATTAAACTTCTATCTTTTCATCCTCTTTTTGCCTTCCAAATATCTTGGTAACCTTTCTGACTATATGTTTTTATAGTTGTCATTATACCTTGACTCATTTATCTTTACTTGTCTTTCTTCTTTCTCTCTTCTTTCTATTCTCTTCTCTTCTGCTATTCTTTGATCTCCTGTCCCTCTTATTCTTCTTACTTGCTCCTTACTTATTCCTGCTTTCTCCAACACTTCCCATCTCTTCTTTTCCCAATTACCTTCTTCTTTTCCCATACACTCTTTATCCAGTCCCTTTATGCATCCCTGTATCAGCTTTTTCTTTGAATTCCTTATTTTTTCCTCATACTTTGCTGCTCTTCTGATCGCTTTAATTTTAATTTCATTTATCTTTGTTCTTCTACCAATATATAATTAGGTGTTCTCCAGTCCAGTTTTAAAATCCATTTCACATACTTTCTTTTTATTCCATCTAGTCTATTGTCGTCCTGCCAGCCCCACACCTCCGCGCTATACAGGGCTATGCTTTCCACCAAAGAATTGAACATCTTCATTCTTTTTTCGAAATTGTCTTTGAATATTCTTTCTCCAATGCTCCATGTCCTCTTCATTGCCACTGTTGCCTTCTTTATCCTTTCTTTTATATGTTTTTCTGTCCTTCCATTTTTCTGTAGAGTATATCCCAGATACTTAATTTCTTTAACTTCTTTTATTTCCTCTTCTCTCCATTTCCACTCTCTCTTTTTTGTTCTATCTCTACCTTTCTCGAATATCATTATTTTTGACTTCTCCAGGCTCAGTTTCCTTTTCTCTGTAGGAACCTCCTAAACCTCTTCAGCATCTCTCTCATATCCGATTCTCTATTTGCCAGTAGAATCACGTCATCCGCATACATTATTGACCAGCATTTCTTTTTTCCTATTACTACTCCTCCTGTCTGACCTTTTGCCATCTCCTCCTCCAAGTCCGACATAAAAATGACTTTATTAGTATATAGGATCTACTTACAATCTATGAGGCATTCCACATCAAATCGGGCACCTTTGAAACATCGTCATTTTATTTTTTTTTTTTAATTTGCATATTCTATATTCTACAGATAAAAACATATTTTGCAACACGTGTTTCGCGAAAAAAAATTGAGATTCTTTTTGTGTATTGACGTTTATAAGTTGCAGAAATTCATAAAAAACATCGTTCATGCGAATATTCAAATTATTATATCGTCGAACCATTAGTCATACAAAAAAATAATTGGATAATAATTTGAATGTTTGCATGAGTAACGTTTTTTATAAATTTCTGCAACTTACAAGCATTAATAACTTCACAAAAAAAATCTCAAATTTTTTTCGCGAAACACGTGTTTCATGTTTTTATTTGTAGAATATGTTAGCAAACAAAAATTAAAAAAATAACGATGTTTCAAAGGTGCCTTTGACGTGAAATGCCTCATAGATTGTAAGTTATATACCAATGGAGTCATTTCAAGGAGAAAACATGTAAAATATTAACTTACTTTCAATAGTACAAATTAGTACAAATTCAAACAAAAAGTTATGTTAATTTTTGCCCTTGTTTTTTTATGGTCCTGCCAGCTTAAATATTAAATTAGCAGCGCCATTGTTTTCTTGGAAATGACACATAATATAGAATTGTTTTTGGTAGTACAAAATAGTTCTAATTCAATCCTATTGATATTATTTTTCATTTTTTTTTATTTTGAATTGGTTCTGCCAGCTTAATATTAAGTTAGCAGTGTCACGATTTTTTTCGAAATGGCACATGGTACAAAATTATAAATAAAATATAATTTAAATAATATAAGATAAATATCATAAATAAAATATAATTTAGTACAAAATAAATACTAAAATTTCCGATAAATCCGATTTGATTCTGCTGATTTGATCCTGCTGGCTTTATAGAGCTCTGCTCACGTTATAGTCGTATGGTCTGTACTGTGATTGATCGATTACAGTTTAAAAATTTACTGAAAAAAAATGAGCCCCTATTTTTTGGAGTAGTGTCCCACAACCAATGGACGTCCTTTTAAGAACGGATTATAAATTTTAAATCAAATTTAATAAAATTTTTTATGAAATATAAAACTCTCGAGATAAGCTACTAGAACATGCAAGGAAAAATGAAGGTTTCCATTTAAAAAAATTAATTTGACCTTGATTTGACTTTGAACAACACCACCCAAGATCAGATGGGTATTATTGTCCATTGTCTTTTTAAGTCTTACAAATTTTGCCTAACCCTTTTTTTTGAAATTGCATTTATTTTTGAGATATTCGACTGTATCCAAATATTCGGAAGATCTTGTATAAATAAATTATTAACATCGTACAAAAACGTACAAAATATTATAATTTATGAGAAATCACATCTTTGAATTTAAGAACAATACAAACAATTATGCGAATTTCAGTTTCCCCGATTTATATTGTTTTCTTAGGTTTCTTGAAGAAAAATAAATTCAATCTTAAAATAGAATTCGGGAGAAAGCGACCTGATCTAATAGAGTGTATTACTTGGGATTCACACCCAATGGCACGTCAAAATGGAATAATTGGTAGAGTATACTATTTTCTGTTTTTCCATACTTTAATAACCTTAAGAACATTCAATGATAAGTTGCAAACATTCAAATAGTAGCATCAATAATGATTATTGTTTATGTAGCGATTGTAGCATGCGGAACAGTAATGGACCAATCCAAGCGTAGTATAATGCGTTATTATTCGTAACGCCGTTATTTTTTTCCGTCTGTAACAGTAACGGTAACATCGTTATTTTTACAGCAATGGTAACGATTCAGCCGTTATTTTTATCGTTATTTTAATTTTTATTGGATAGGCGGATATAGATAACGCTGGCGTTGAAAAATGTTTTACTTTATAGTGTCTCTAGAAGTGTACTTCTAGTTACTCAAGTTGTGTCCATATTATAACAAATGAACGAAATACTTAAATTTTTTTTAAATACTTGTGCAAATATATATTTAAGTTACAATTTAAGTTATATGCAACAAATGTAATTATAAAATGTTTATTTTCTCATTTTTATTTCTTAAAAAATATTTTATATTTTATATCTTAGACCGCATTCCGATAGTCACTATCAGTATTGAAAATCTATAATTCATATTGCATATAGACTATTACATATATACATATGGATTTTTAGTATTAGAAATGAATCTTAAAATACATTTTTATTAATAATATTAATGTTTAAAAACAGTGTTTAATTTAAATTTGATATTTAAATTCGTTGATCGAGTTTAGCTCTCTCACGTGCGATATTGAATACAATTAGGCTCATTTCTTTCGTGTTTTTGCGCAAAACAACCAAATCAGGCAGAAATAAACGTTGTTCTGTTCCACAAACCGAGATATTAACCATTAAAGTTGATTATTCAGATTAGGAAACCTGTTACACTGATGAAAAGTCAGCGACATGACCATGTGTTGTTCAAGCGAATTTGGGTATGAATTTCGTTCAAATATCCCAAAATATGATACAAAAGAATCACATTAATTGGCTAAATTTATTTTATAAAGAGATTTAATTTTAATAAACGAATTATAGAATTTTTTAAAATAATTGGTAAATTATATCCTACAACATCAATAAGTTCCTAATAAATAGAATAGGTGATGTGTGTAGTTCCTGAATAGTGGTCAAATTTAACAATTAATAGCTCTGTTCGCGGTGCAGAGAGACGATTGTTTCTAACGACGCCAGATTCGGTCGTTTTGTGCGAAAACACGTTGAATGAGTATAATTTTATTAATTTCGGACGTGAGGGGGCTAAACTCAACAATTTTCCGAAAAGTAACGATTCGTTTACTTTTTCAAATAACGCGGTAACGCATTACTTTTAACGAAAAGTAACTGTAACGGTAAACGGATAACTCGTTACTTTTAAGGTAACGTTCCCAACTCTGAGAATTGTTTCTAATTGAGCGACTGCATGCTTTAATTACAGAAAACAATTCAAAAATAAATGTATCATTACTGTCGGATATAGATAGTAAAGGAAAAATAGCAACATTGGCGCAGTCATTAGCAAAAATTGTGTCTTCGGGAAATCTTGATCTGGAAAAAATTACGGCTGAACTAATCACTGAAGAATTAGAAATAAAAGGGATGCCTGATCCCGATCTTGCTTTAATATACGATTACTCTTGTTCCACGCATGGTGTACTACCATGGCACACAAGAACGACAGAATTTTTGTAAGTTCATAAGAAATTTTTGTAAATTCTGTCAATATTTTGCAAAAAATTTACTTGTTTTTTTAAACTAACAATTTAATTTTTTTCAGAATGCTGCCGCTGTACGTTAATATCTCGATGAAAGATTTCACGTGTCTGTTGGGGAGGTATAACAAATGTGTACAACGGCACGGTAAATGACATGTAATTATCCTTATTTATACAAGAGATATCGCGTTGCGGTAAAAAGAAATAAATTATCATAAAAACTGAATTTCTAATATGATTATTTTACATACGCTACAAATGCAAAAATCAACTTTTGTGATCATATGATACACTAATATTGTAACAAAAGATCACGTGTTAAAAGAACATATATTGTACAAGATATTTCAAAGAAAAACTATGCATTTTCCATTGGTCCTTTCTTCAGTTTATAGTCTGATATTTGAATTTAGAAATAAAAATTTGATTGAAATTGTGATAGTTACGTAACTACAGATGTAGGAACAGCAATGTCTTGTTACATTTTTATTTTCACATAGGCGTAAATTTTTTTTTGCATAATAAATGCAATCTTTTCGCATAATCTACATTAATGTTACAAATATGTTTTAAAAGATAAACCACAATAGCGTTACATGTTGCAATAATTATAAAAGCGAACATTTACGAATATCTTACATAACTTTATGATAAAATGGTCAAATATAATTTTTTAATAATAGTTTTACGAGTTCCTGATACCCAATGCTTGCTCCAACTCTGCTCGTTTTTGCTGAACTTTTGTATAAAAGTAACGACATACGGCTTCCTGTGCCCAAGGCTGATAGTAAAATTCAGCTCTCCGTTCTTCTTCTGGATTGCCGACAACGTCGGTCATGGTCTTTAAATCTCTAGTCTGAGAGATGATCCACTTATTGATAAACTGTTGCGGATCTTTAGCAAAACTCAGGAAGAACTCACGATTGGTCTTCAATTGATTAATTGTCTCAACGGTTTCATGAATCTTATTATCCAAACTCTGAATTTCCTGCTGGCTCGCAGTCGATAATAAGAAATTATTCATTTGCGTCTTCAATGTATCGTCTACTTCTACATCAATGTCGTAACACGCGGTTTGTTTTGTTTCCGTTCCTGAATAATATAAATTTTTATATCAGATATTCATAATGAGCTATAAAGTAAGTTGCAATATATATTCACTTATAAAGTTGCCTCTAAAGTAATATTATTTTATTAAGATAAAAATTGTACCTCACCTTCTACGCTTATAACATGATTTATCACAATGGGATCAGGTGGATGCAATAATGGATTCAGTCGTTGCGGTATCTCAGCGAATTTCATTCGCGGGCAGGCAAATATCTGTTCCAAGTATTTATCACAATTAATAAATTCTCTCTCGTGACTGTCTTGAAGCTTGTGCGTTTTTATATATTGCCAAAGCGCGGATATGATGACGGGTCGCGTTTGCGTATGTACGCCTAATAATCGCGCTAATCTTGGGTCCAATTTAAACTGGAATGTAATTAACAGAAATTAGATTTAAGATTAATGCAAATAGACTAAATCAATTATAATAAAATGTTTTAACTTGCTAATTGTGCAACAATTGTAAAATAACAAACAAGTGTAAAATAACTAATTGTGTAACAATTATCGATTAATTTATGTAAAAGGATTACCTGTAATGGTTGATAATCAAGAAGAAGAAGGATTGTACAGCGAACGTTCTTGTCGCCTGGTCTTTTAACTTGAAATCCATCGGTTTCTTGAGTAGTCAACGTACGGTGCCACTCGACCAAATGATTATCAGGACCATAGAGATCTTTGTCCAATTCTATTACCAAACTTTTAAAGAAAGACGAGAACTTTCGTTTTACCTGCGAAATTCATACAGTTATTGTTGAATATACGTATTTATATATGAAGTAGTAAATACTTACAATATAATTAGACTATACACACGTATTTATTTGTTTATTAGTATCTTAATTATATTTCATATTCTATTTTATTATTATACCTTATTAGGATCATTTTTAGTATCATCTAAAAGACGTCCTTCTACTCTAAGTTCCCAAGACGCTACAGATCCTTCCTCTCCTTCACCTGCTTCTTTAGCCGGATAAAATGTGTTTGAGATAAAAATACGCAATTTTCGCTTCTGCTTCATTGGACGCTTCAAAGCTTCTTGAATATCGAGACGTTTTCGCATTATAGTTGCATCCAACTTTCTTTCGAATGCCAATAAATCCATATAAGCTTGCGACTCTGGTACCAAATCACGCACTTTTTGAGGCAATATTTTGTCTGCCAATTTCTTCTTTTTCTTTGATGTGGAATGTGAAAAATCACTGTTCCAAAAATACCTAAATGAGTTTATTCGAAAACCATAGACACAGAAATTATAAATAATTCTGTAAGCCGTGAGTTGCAGTGGTTAAATTCCTAACAAAATTTGGTTTTAAGTATAAACAGAAAGATATTTAGACTCAAAATATCAAGTTAAATAGAAATAATAATACATATACAAGTTATATATGCGAAAAAATAAAAAGCGGTAAACATGCAAGAGTAAGGATAAATAAAAAACAAAAAGTAGCCCATTATTAAAATATAATATCTAATTAACGAAGAAATACACAATTTACATACAAGATAAATATAAAGCGTTTGTCTTAAACTTCTCCAGATTATACTTACGGTTTTTGCTGGGACATAGGAATACGTTGATCAGCACTTCTTTTTCCAACGGGTGGCGTAGGCATTGGGCCCTGACGCATATTTGAGTAAGGTTGATTTGGTCGCATTATTCCACCTGGACCAGGCCCAGCATTACCCATTTGTGGTGGCGGAGTGAATCCAGATCTCTGTTGCATCTGTGATAGAAACTCATACGTGTCATCCAGGCATAATTATATAATATAAATAAAAAAATTATATAATTTCTCTCTCTCTCTCTCTCTCTAGATTGTAATTGTTGCGTAATATAATTAATCAAAAGATATATTATTTGGAAAACTATGGCTAAGTCATTCTGTATTCTATTGTTTAATCAAAAAGTAGCTCCAGTAAATAGCATATAAAATGACAGTAAAAAAAAGTAACACAACTTCGATTTAGATTTTCCTTGTGATATAAAGAAGATATACAAATAATCTTTAAAAGCTAAATACCTATCAGATCCCAAGTGACTTAGCCATTGTTATCCAAGGATTAAATATCAAAAAATCAATTTCATATCTGAATATAATATTATATTGATTGTGCATCGAAATTAAAAAAATATATTTACTGGAAAATTTGGTCCAGAGTACTGGCGCAAATTTGGCGGTACCGAGGATTGTGGATATCGCTGAGGTGGTGGTCCATTACTTCCTGCATTTGGCACAGGAAATCTTTGTGCCATCTTTTCTAGCACTCTTCAAAAAGAAATATTAGCAATCCTGAATATATCTTTCTTAGAACTATAATTATGTGGTTACTAAATTGCATGAATATTCATATAATAAATAATATGCACACGCGCGCGCGCGCGCGCTCACACACACACACACGCGCGCGCGTAAAAAATATAAAATATATTAGGCATTCCATTCACACATGTATGCAGAAACTAGTTTGTGGAATTAAATTAAAACATAATAACACGACAATCACAATTGATATCCAACACATAGATAACATAACCTAATATAAATAGAAAATTCATTTCCATTTGCTATAATGAGTCTATTCGTGTTGTTGTGCTTTTAAAGCTCAGCATCTTCGCTTTATTTTTTTTTAATGCCCAAATATATATATTCATCTTATTTTAAGTTTTAAAAAATTTGAGGATCTTAAGCAACGCGAACAAACCTAATGTTACGTACTGATTGCATGAATGCAGTTTATATACTAGAAAAGATAAAAGGTAAACGAATTATTTGCACGGGAAAAATGCCGAATGTAGTCGTTCCTGAAGATTCGCGATCACTTTATCATCGAATTTCACGAGAAATAATAAAACAAAGTTTCGCGCTTTTGTTATGTCGTACTGAAGAATATACAGAGTAATTCAATAAGCATTATTTACAAAGCTTATTTGTAATAAGTGTCGTTGAATAACCTCGTAACGCTTACAATTTAGTGTTTCGGCTTTATGTTGACTACGCTTTACTCCATTTCTTGGCCTTCAGGTTCAGCTGCGTCCCGCTTTCCCTTCACTATTCGAGGACACAACGAACTATAGATAGCACTTGACATCGTACAAAATGGTTGCGTTCAGCAGACTTATGCCTAATTCACACCGGACGCAGCAAGCGTCAAGCAGCGGAGCAGCAACCAATCAGCTGGACGATACGGGCAGTGGTGTAAAAAATATTTTTTATGCCTCGTTGATTGGTTGCTACTTGATGCTTGCCGCTTGCATGTGAATGCACCTTTAGGCATTAAGGCGCATTCACATGCAAGCGTCAAGCATCAAGCAGCGGATGCAGCAACCAATCAACGAGGCGATTTTTACAGTGGCGTAAAAAAATATTTTTTACACCATTGCCCGTATCGCCCAGCTACAGTCGAATGCTCGAATGTGAGAAGAATAATCGACTGCGATTGATCAATTTCTTACTCTTACTTCTTAAACCAAGCTTACTTCGCATATTGTAGATGACGCATAACCCCAGATCTACAATAGGATTTTAAGCCTTAAGCCATAAGAAATGGGTGAATCACAGTCGATTATTCCCCTCGGATTCGACTGTAATTGGTCAATTTTTTACGGTTTAAGTCTTAAAACACCTATTGTAGATCCGGACTTAAGCTGGTTCTACATTAGTCGCATCGCAATGGATGCATTCAGCAGAAAAGCAGCTTTTCAACTGTTGTAAAATTCTTTAATATGATTAGTCTTGCCCTTAATTCCTCATTGGATCTAAATGTATAAATCAATCATATTCAAGAACAACTAATGTTAAACAAGAATGAGGTGATCGCTGTGTCGCACAGTGGCTGCGATTTGACGCTACAAATATTTCGAAGCGTTTGAGCGACCAATCAAAACAAAGAATTTTACGAATTAACTAATCAAAAAAAGCTTCGAAGCTTTTGTAGCGTCAAGTGGACCGTAGCTAGTGTCGCTTGTTCGAAAGCTCCCCCAATAAGCGCTTAGTATTATTGGTATAGGGTATGGTTAGTAGATCCAACATGGAGGATCTATGCGCTACTTTGATACGTAGATAGAGCTTTAGTGCAGAGTGCAGATCGGTGCAGACTGCGGCGTTGCGA